GGTTGTAAGTGTGAAGGGCAAGTTGAGTGATGACTTGGCGCCGATGGACCGAGGCAATGGTGAAGAGTAAGTGAAGTTAAGATCGATGAACCAATACGGATACGTGACAATTTTAACCATGCTCGCTATTCTTCACGCACTAGACGACCGTGTATATCGACAGTGGGGCACATCTGATGACTCATGAATATTGAGATCTACTGGCTTAGTATTTTGGAAGTGTTCATACCCGTGGTAAGTGATCGTATCTGTCGATAACGGGGCACATGTGAATACTCAATCTTGAAATCTATCAGCTTAGTATTTTGAAAGTGCTCATAGTGGAGTAGACGTGTGTTTTATCATAGGAGTGTGAGTACGTGCATGTACGTGAGCGTCTACATTTATACTGTGATTTACAATAAAAAGGGATGGTCACTGAATTGTTATTGCTAGTTAAATACGTGTTCGATAAAATTTGAAGTATAATGAAATAAGTATTTTAATAAACCAAAAAGTTTAATAGATATATCATAAAACGGTAGGCAAACAAAATTTTAGATAAATCAAAATATTTTATTCTAATTATATTCTATATGATTTTAGTTGTCAAGATTTTCTTTATTACACTCTTTTAATATAAACATAGACTATTTACTATATATATATATATATATATATATTGTTTGTTTGGGGGCCATGGCCCCATGCTGCCCAAGCTCTGCTTGATGTCCCAGCAGCCAGAGATGGTATCTCCCCTATGGTCATCATCGGGTTGGGTTCGGCAATGAGACTCGACTGAGCGGACTGCCCGCAGGGCCGGCCCTGGGGGTGGGCAGGGTGTGCGGCCGACCCTGGCCTCTAATTTTGGTGGGCCTCTCCCCATATAGTAGGTACTAGTATATGTATATATGATTTTGTCTATAATACATATATACATGGGCTTTTGATTGCTGCGTGTTGCCTATTGGGCTGTTGGCTAAATATAGAAGCAAGCAAAAGTCAAGGAAGAGGCCCTTCGACGCTTGGTTTCCATTCACCTCATGAACGACGACGACCCGATGCGGCGGCCGGAGGTAATCGTCCTCATCCGTGATCGAGAAGATGCGAGATGTTGCTCGTTCAATTTCGATCCCAATTCCCATCATCCTCATCCGTGATCCCGATCCATTTGCGCCGCTTCGGTTCATCAATCATCATGGATCAACTGGATCAAAGTATCAAACCCTTTGCACAGGATGAGAGGATCACATCCATAGGTAAGCACCGCCGGTTTGACAAATAACATATTGATGATTAATTTATTTATTGTAGCCTACATACCCTTATAATTGTAAACTATAATTGTCTATCGACTATCGTTTATTTAATTTTAGGATTTGGATATAATGTCATCGAGAAAGTTTGAATCGGGTGCTTCCAAAAGGAAACGGAAAAGAAATGCTGCAGCATTGACAGAATCACTGAGAGGATCTCTTGATAAATTTTTCAAGACTAGTACGGCTGCTTCGACGAATCCTGATGAGTTGGCGATAGTTGCTGTGGATGTAGCAACTAATGAGAATGATGAAGAAAATGTTGACATCGGCGTCGGTGATAACAATGTAAGTGACCCTGAGAACACCGTTCCTGCATCGGGTGCGCAAGAACAATCTACTAGTATTGATGAGCAGCCAATTTACACTTCGGATTTATATGATCCAAGCAATTGGGATAAACTTGATAATAAGGCACGAGACATATTAGTTGAGAAGGGGCCTATAAGAGAAGAGAACATTGAATTCCCTCATGATGCTGAGTCAAGACATTTTTCATGTGGCCATTATTTTAGAAAACTAAGCAACGGAGAGTTACATGATAGAAAATGGTTAGTTTATTCAAAGAATGTTGACAAAGCATTTTGTTTTTGTTGTAAGATCTTCAAGTCTAGCAGCACGAGTGGCTTAGCAAATGATGGCTATAGTAATTGGAGGCACATTAGTCAGAAGCTTAGAGAGCATGAAAATAGTCCTGAGCATATTAGGAATATGAACAGTTGGAATGAAATGAGAGCTAGACTGTGGAAAAAGGAAACAATTGACAAAGAATTGCAGCAACAAATCACAAAGGAGAAAGAACGTTTGAGGCAAGTTTTAATAAGGATAGTTGCAATTGTGAAATTTCTTGGCAAACGCAGCTTGGCTTTTAGAGGAAGCAATGAGCAACTTTACAATCCAAGTAATGGCAATTTCTTAGCTGCCGCCGAGATGATAGCAGAATTTGATTTTGTAATGCAAGATCACCTCAGACGTATTCAGAACAAAGAAATTCATTATCATTATCTTAGTCATAAAATTCAGAATGAGTTGATTTCTCTCTTGGCTGCTGATATCACAAGCTCTATCATAAAGGTTGTTAAAGAGGCCAAGTATTTTTCCATTATTCTTGATTGCACCCCTGATGTGAGTCATCAAGAACAAATGACTTTGTTAGTTCGATGTGTTAATTTGTCTGATGCCCAAATAAAAGTTGAGGAATATTTTTTGGGGTTCTTGAAGGTGGATGATACATCTGGTTTGGGGCTTTTTAATGTAATGGTTGATGCTATTAACTCCTTCGGACTTAATATTGATGATATAAGAGTTCTACAAAAAGGTGGAATGCTTTGCTGAAACATGTTCCTAGTTTAACTGTGAAATCATTGTCCAATACTCGCTGGGAGAGTCGAATCAAAAGTGTTTCAGCAATAAGATATCAAGCTACTGAGATAAGAGCAGCTTTATCTGAGTTACGTCATGATCCTGAGACTGATGCTAAAGATAAAAGTGATGCAAAAACTTTATTTGAGGCCATTGGAAAATTTGAGTTTATACTTGGTATGGTTATCTGGAATGATATTTTATTTGCCGTGAATAAAGTGAGCAAGAAGTTGCAGTCGCCAGACATGTGCATTGACTCTACATTGTAGCAAATACAAGGTATGAAGCAATACTTTGAGACATACAGAAATGAAGGGTTTTCTTCTAGTCTGATTATCGCCAAAGGCATTGCATCTGACATGGGTGTAAAGGCATCATTTCCAGTAAAACGTTGTGGTACGAGGAAGAAACAATTTGACGAAAGTGATTGCCAAGAAGAAATTCTAGACGCTGAGAAGGCTTTTGAAGTCGAATATTTTAATGTTGTGGTTGATATGGCAAGATCTTCTTTAAATCATAGATTTGATAAACTCATGGAGTTTAAAGATATATTTGGTTTCTTAATGAGCTCAACTGCCCTAAAGTCATTAGATGATACTGAACTTGAAGAGTGCTGCACTAAATTTGCCAAAAAAATTTCGGTTGATGGATCATCCGATGTTGAGGTACATGATCTTATTTCTGAATTGAAGATTTTGAAATTCACATTGCCAGAAGATACATTGTCTGCTATGGAGATTTTCAAGCATGTCAGAGAGTTGGATTGTTATCCAAATATTTCCATTGCTTATCGGATCTTATTTACTATTCCTATGACGGTCGCATCAGCTGAAAGAAGCTTTTTAAAGTTAAAATTATTGAAGAACTATTTGAGGTCAACAATGTCTCAAGAAAGGCTAAATGGCTTGGCGACTTTATGCATCGAGAAGAAGTTGTTGGATGAGATCGATATCAATAGTATTATCAATGATTTTGCATCTCGAAATGTAAGAAGAAATTGCTTTAGATAGTGTCAAGTGCCAAGTAAGTAATATATTATTACATATGTCCATTTTATTAACTTTGAGAGATTATATATAAGCTTTTTTGGTGCTTTGAATATTATCTAAATTGATGTGTATTTATGAGACTATATATATCTATAAAAAATCTATATAAATAATTTTTTGAAAGTAGACTATGCGCCTCCATATTAGTTCTCGACCATGGCCTCGAAAAACTCAGGACCGGCGCTGACTGCCCGATACATGTCGTTTTGTTTTTCAGACCTTCTTACACGATAATTTTTTTCTGCTGGTTTTGACTCAATCTGGAGGTAAAATAAGTGGCCTCACCATTCATCCAAACAACGTTCTCAGATATGGCTCGTAAAATTTCCAGGGCTTGTAATTTACAGTGGTTTTGATTCAAAAACCAGGCCTCCAAACAAGCCCTTAGATAAAATAAATTATAACATTACATTCATGATAATAAGAGATGCAACAAGAGTTAATATAATTTAAACTAATTTTCGAACTAAATACATATTAAAAACTCATATATGTGCAATATAAATCATGAAAATATGCATAGAGTAATTGGTAAGTATTAAAACTGAAGAGATAAGAGATCATCTAAACAAGTATTGTGGTAGAAAATATGTAAATAGAGAGAGTAAAGATAATAAATATTGGTTATTGTACATATAAATTTATGGAACTTCTAATACTTGTGAAATATAAGATTCTAATCTGTTCAAGGTAGCACACGTTGATGGTTAGTACTCCATCTATTCCAAATTATAAGACATTTTGATCCTTATTTAGATTTTTTACTTGATGATGTCCTTAAATATACATTATGTCTAGATATATAACAAAAACAATGTATTTAGAAAAAAAATCAAAACATCTAATAATTGGGAACTGATGGAGTAATAAATTAATCCGTGATAGTTTAAAGCAGCAAAGTGTGCAACCACTGTGACGAGGTGGGTAGTAGGGTTGAGCTTTTGTGTATAGGAATATGAAAACTTGTCTATCGGAGATGCCAGGGAATAATTTATTCCACATGCAAGAAAGAGAAGCTCCAAAACAATCGCGAGTCGCGACAGCGAGCAAGGCCGTCTATAACTTTTTAATTTGCCAATGAGTATTTAATACAGGCACGTTCCTCGCGGACGAATATTGAACACTCAAGGAGCAGTGGACTGGAGATATACAGTGACGGTCACGGGCGCACGGATCACCATTTCATCGTCACCGCTCCAGCGTCTTCACCGGCAGGCGGCCGCAGCACCGGCCGCGCCTCCGTCCCATTGTCCCTTGCTCAGCTTCTCCGTCCCAGCTCCTGCTACCGCCATCCATGGAGGCGCCCCAGGGTATGTATTTTCTTTCGCTCTCTTCCCCTACTTGGTTTCCCATGAATTGGGGATCTCTCTTTCCGTGATAAGATCTGTTGGGGATTGGGCGATTGGCAGCAGAACCAGCAGCTTGTCCAGTCCAGCCGATTAGGACTTGAGGCGAACTGATGAAGGTCAATACAACTTTCTTGGAACTGAAAGGTTTTTTGAAACAATCTTGGAACTGAAAGTGATGGTCATAGTGACAGATTCCCAATCCATCGATTTGATACCTTTGTTTTTTTGCCTTCTAGTCACCCAAATGCGTTCTATATATCCATCGGTGCTTTGCGCAGCGGCCCATATTTTCCCTAGCTATGGTTCAGTTTTTTATTTTGCAGCATTCGCACATCCACAATGTAGTCCACTAGTCCAGTGCTTCAGGCCTCCAGGCTGCAAACACCAACCACCCAGCAAACACCAGAGTCAGAGCCAAAGAACTAAACACAACCCTGATGCAAGCTCACACTTACACCAGCATATAGCAGTTTCTACACTCCACTTGGAAGACCCAGCATCACCAGATCAGACCATTATTTTCCAAGACGGGCTTGGTTCTTCCTTCCCAAATCCCACACCGAATAGCATGGCTTGAGCTTCATGAGGGATTGACTTGGTTGTCCAGTCTCCCGCATTCGTGAACTAGTGCTTCTCAGGATCAACCAACCACTTGATTTCTTTTTTTTTAAATGAATGGCAGGAGCTCTGCCTCTCAATTAAGGTAGAATAAAAGAGAGCCAACCACTTGATTTCAGCCCTTGCAATTTTGAGGTGAATTCCATTTTTCTTATCTGTTGGGCAGAGCATGAGCACACCCCACCCTTGGATCGTAAGCACAATTTTCAGCAACAAAGATTATATTTCACATCCTTCCAACCTACATTCTGAAAGCACATGTTATTTCTCAGCTTGGCAGCAGCAAAAAAAAGTTTTAACAATTGTAAACTTCTAATAACTTTGGTGGACAGACAAATCTGCTTAACAGCTAGCAAGTGAAAAACAAATGGTGGACATACTCTCTTTCACAACAAAAAACAGGATAAAAGGATCCCTTTTATCTCCCTTCCTCGTACTCAGGTTATCCCTAGTTACCAGGTTGTTGTTACCAAACAGCAGCCAGAGTAAAAAGTTAACTCTGCGAGGCTTTTAAGCCGCCAAACTGCAGGAACATGGAATAGGGTTGAACTTGAACCCCCTGAAACTGATCACCCTATATAAAGGTTGGGAAGAACAGAGATCACAAGATTCATAGTGCCATACTAAGGGCAGTCCCAATGAAAGAAACTAGTAGTTTCTATAACATAGGATATCACACCAAAAAAGTACTGCTTTCAACCCATGGTTTCTATGAGTAATAATTATTTTCTCTTTCTCTCTCCCAACTCTATCTTCTTCCTCCAATGGGAGTGCGACACGAGGTTCCTTGAAATTGGTGGTTTCTCTCCAATGGCGATTTCATAGTTTCTTGGTGCATTGGGTCAAGAGTAGACCTGATTTCTTCATGAAGAAACTATTTCTATGATTTTTGCTCTCTTTCTTCATTAATTACGTTGCCATGTCAGCGTTTTGACTACGTGACAAGTCATTTAATGAGGATAGAAATCATCATCAATACATCATTGGGACTGTCCTAATGCATCTTCTGATCAGAAATATCTGTCGGTTTGGTTATGCACCCAATCACTGTTGAAAGAGAGTCGTTTCCTCAGAAAACTATTGAAAGAGAGTCTCTGACTTGGGATTTGTCTTATCAGCAGCAGCAAGCCAAGAAGAGCGGGACTACAAGTTCATCGCGAAAGCCGTGGACGAAGCTTACCGGGCAGTCGAGTGCGACGGCGGATACCCCTTCGGGGCGGTCATCGTCCGTGGCGACGAAGAGGTGGTCAGCAGCCACAACTTGGTCCGGAAGGACACCGATCCATCGGCGCATGCCGAAGTAGCCGCCATAAGACAGGTAGTATAGTAGTTTGCAGTTTAAGCCTCTCTTAATCTAGTTCCTTCCATGCTCACAAAATAATATTGCACTCTTATCTCTTGGCATTTCAGGCTTCCAAAAAACTAGGAAAAATCAACCTCTCCGACTGTGAAATCTACACGTCCTGTGAGCCATGCCCGATGTGCTTGGGACTGATTCGCCTATCCAAGATAAAGGTTCGTCCATTGCTTGACTAGAAACATATATAGAGAGAGAGGTGAAGATGATTGTTCGCTTCACACACTGTTGTTTTGTTCATGCATCCTGCAACTACACAGAAGGTGGTGTATGGAGCCAAGTCGGAGGTTGCTGCTGCTGCTGGGCTCAATGGCACCCTCCCAGATGTCTTTATAGAGTACTATCAGAAATCCGGCATAGAGATGAGGCAGGCTGAGGGCGACGAAACCCGCCGGATTGCTGAGGAGGTGTTTGAGAAGACAAAGGGGAAGTTTCGGAAGAAGTAATGTGCTGGACAAGGCAAGATGGTGGATGGTTGTTGTTAGTTGTTACTTGTGGAAGCCAAAGGAATGGTGTCATTTCCAAGTTTTTGTTGCCTGTGGAACGTTCAGATTCAGACATCGGAATAAATTCTCTTTATCTAACGGTTGGACCGATCCCGCACGTGACGCCCAAGAAAAAAAAAGAGAGGGTGTGTAGTTAGAGTTAGGCAGGCCTACACCCGTCTTTTTTGCGGCAGCGCATGAGAGCGTGTGCGGCCACTCGTTTGGGGTGCATGCGGTGCTTGGGGAACCATGCATGTGCGTGACCACGGGAGAGAGGCTCCCTGCAGCGTCCGCTGCTGGCTAGACCAGCCGACCATGCCTCTAGCCGCACGCGCCCAGGGCCGCATGCCTCCCTGTCGCACGTACCCTCTGCTGCGTAGAGCTTAGGCCTGCTGTTGCTTGCCGTCCTGCTCTTTTCTCTCTCTGTTGTCTGCGCCCAGCTGCCTGTAGGGTTGCTGTTTTGGCCGACCGGATTAGCCAGCACAGGGCCAGCCAAGCCGCTTGCCTGTTTGTGAGAGGAGCGTGGGCCCACATTTGCATGCGTTGTTTGCTGCTTCTACGACGGTTGACCGTTGGCAGCTAAGTGCTGGTCCAAATTTTTTCGTCCGTCGACACGGAATTTCGTCCCGTGCCAAGGGCACACGAGCAAGCCGGAAGGGTCCGCTCGATGGAGCTGGAGATCCGCCTAGCTTCAGCACAGGGGTGGTCGATCCTGCGCACTCCTCCCGAGACGTGCCAGTCAATTTGACCCTGCAATTGACAAGGATAGAAATTTTATCAGTAATTTAGGGCGGAACATGCTGGTGTTGCCAGACAGTCCCGAATGTGCGGCTCTGAGAGCCGATATGAAAGGAGATCGACTAAATAGTCGATTCCAGCATATTCATAAGAATAAATCGATTAAAGCTCATGGGGTTGTATAAGAAGAATCGATTATCGTTCAGGATGAATATCATTTTTAGACAAATATTGATCAATGGCAATAAGATATTAACAATAATTAGCTTATGCTGAGCCAATGACTACAAGTAACCGAATCCCTTTATAAAAAAACAGTTCATCATCATTCAACCATTTAATAGAGATAAATCTAATGAACGTTTTAGATCTCATCTATCGCTATGACCAGTGGGGCAAGAGACAGAATCATGCAGGCCATAGAAACAACACTAGACTCGACGACCCTAACTTATTACCAATATCAGTGGGGCATGAGGCAGAATCATGCAAGCCGTAGTACAATAATAAGATCATGGGGTTAACACATCTTTCAACCCATCGCTACTTCAATGGTCTCGTGACGTGAACTGTTCGTGAAAGCACTCGATATCGGCTAAAACAGTCGATCCAGGCATAGCGCACAGTTAAGATCATGCCCTCTTAGAAACAGATATACCAAATAATGATCCTCACTCCACGGTGCTAACAGTGGGGTGTGAGGCAGAATCACATAGGCCGTAAAAACGGGCCATGGAACGGTTTTTGCTAGCCAACAGATCTACTTAAGATCAAACATATGTTAACCGTACGCTATGCACGATTAAGATTGATATAAAACAGTCGATAAAACATAACTCATCGTTTAAAGTGTAGATTAGATCAGTTTAGATTAACAAACGATGGGTTAAAAATGATATAAGGCCGATCTAGATCAATTCCAATCGGGCGAAGTGATATTGCTGTAATTAAATAAATAATGGAAGCAATAAACAATATCGGTAACTTAATGAATCTATCCGAAGGAACACCACCCTTAGATAGAGCCGATAACTTGACCTTAATCTAGTTCGAGCAGTGGAGGTCGACCGGATCGATGCAGCCGTACTTGAACTAGACAAGAGTCGATAACTAACTTATACCAGAGTCGTAGTGGAGGTCGACCGGATCGATGCAGCCGTACGAACAGAGGTATAATCTATGACGGTACTTACAGACAAGAAGTGGAGGTCGACTGGATCAATGCAGCCGTACTTACTAAATAATTCGCCGAGATCTACTCTACTTCTACTCCTAAGGGGTGGCCGGAGCCGAAAAAAGTAAGTAAGTTGTATTTGATTGATTGTGTGTCTTTTACAATAGCCGGACTTTGATATTTATACCCGGAGCCTACGAATCCTACTCAAGTATGACTCGGTACAATCTTTGGTATGAAGAAAACATTCTTAATTTAAGATAACTTGGACTCTAATCTTTTTCTTTTTATAGAGTCCAACATGTCTTGTCCTGACGCCGATCATAACATTTGTCGTTATCTACTGGCGCTATCTGAAGAAAGTCGATTCCAGTTTTGCATTCGAATCAGCTGATACCGGCCTGCACATGATTGATTCCTTGATGACATGATCTTGAGAGCTTTTAAGTCCCTGCGACTCTTCTTCCAAATTTTGGTGTAAACACATACCCCTAATTTTGGGATAAAAGTAATTTTGTCCCAAAATTATCACGTCTGTATCCACGATTGGTCCGTCACGGATAGAGAATCTTGATCTGGGGTCCACTGTTTGTCGCCGTCTATGTCAGCTCATGAGCCCAAGCTTCAAAACTGCATCATGGCTTCACGGGCACTTGGATTTATCCTTCCAGGCCGGCTATAAAATGTCTATCCGGCCCTGGCGAGAGCAATTCAACTATGTTTCTCTTCCATATGCCCCCTCGAGTGCTTCTGATTCCGCCGGACCCTCCATGGTCTATCTTTTTGCTATGAAGATCTTGAGCGGTTAGAAGAATTTCTGTACATAGGGTGATTGTGTCTCCCATCTTAGCACCTTGTCGAGCAAGAGAATCAGCTACCGCAGTTAGAAGAATCCTTGTGATAACGCCTGGGTCTTCTCTCCATGCTCACAGAGCTATTCTAGTGTTTGCAAGGGCTAAAATACGTGGACAATTTCCCCTTGTTTGCTCAATCAAATGGCCATCGAGAAAGCCACAAGCTTCTTTCTAGTGGCTTCCCAGTCACCGAGAAATCAACTAGGCATCTGTTAGGCAGACGGCTTTTTCCCTTCTCTGTCATAATTTTATTAACGGGTCGACGTGACTCAGTTTATGATGACTTTTGGCCCTGTGAGGATTCGAACTCTCCCTTCAATCCAAAGAAACCTTGGTGGGCTGATTGTTGGTCAATGTAAATCTTTTGTATCCATCCCATGATATTCTGTAACTTGGGAAAGCAATAAGTCCGAATCTGTTATCCCTTCGTTATCTGTTCCCTGAATTCCCGGAGCGTCGATCCGTTTTCGTATCTGATTTCAATTTCACACTCCCAGCAAAATCTATCTCTTCACCTTCCCGGGCTATATATACGGGCCACGGCTGGGGATCGAAAAACAACTCGCTTCATCCCAAACCTTTCGCGCCCTTAGTATAGCTCCTGCTTTTCTGTAGGTTTGATCATGGAGAACAGCAAGAGGTTTGCTGAGGAGGCTCCCAACGGACCTGTATCACCGCGTCAGCGCCTTCATCGTCAGGAGGGTACAACTCGTGGTGCCCCCACTGCCTCGGGGGATAGGGCCAACTCCGTTCGGCCTTTAGGGTCCTCTTCGTCAACAGCTCGTCGCCAGCTCCCTTGTTATCAAAGGAGGCTGATTGACAATGACGATTTGCTTGCCTCCATTGATTGGCATGGCCAGGGTCTCGTTGAATGCCTTTCCCTCACAGAATCGGCTCTGGCCATGGTTCGATGTCGATCACCTCCCGAGGTCGATTCAGTGGAGGATAGGTTGGCCAAGGCTGAGACCAGAATTACGGGTGAGATATCTATCATAACATTTGCTTCCTTTTAATTTCATCTTCAAGACTCTGATCATCTCCCCTTTGAATCTTTTTAGATTTGTCTACCCAACTGGAGAGCCTCCGATTGGCTGCGGAGCACGCGGTGGGATTTGTCAACGCCAGAGGCGCCGACCCGGTGGTTCGCCTGCACGACATCCCGAACCGTGTTAGGGAGGTCGCTTTGCATGGCATTCGCCATGGTGCCGCCATGGCGTTGGCTTCTGCGCAAGCCCATTCTGGCCATGAACTTCGGTTCCTTCCCCATGATTTTCCAGCCGCGGCGCACTCTGGGGATTATGAACGCCTGATTGAGGATTTCTTCAGTGTTGCTAACTCCGTAGCCTTTATCTCCCAGGCCGATGATATAGTAGCCAAAGTGTTTTTCGGCCCGTAGTTTGTAATAGGTGATATTAGCAAATAATTGCTCCGTCTTGAGTGATTTTTCTTTTGTTTTGTACTCCACATTATACACATCACTTTGTCCGTGTTTGCTTTGCTTCTGTAGGCAATACACATTGTACCGGCTTTTACCCCTTCGGGTTTATTTTCGCACTAGAAGCGACACTCTTCTGGTATCGGCTATTAGAGCCAATAACCGAGCAAATTGGTTGTCCAGTACTAATCCAAACGCTAGGGTAATATTCCTTCAAATATTCCCCATTTGATTGCTCTGCCGAATTCTTCTTCTCCTCTTAGTGTCTCCAAAATGTAAGTATTACCAGGCTGACCACGTTTGATCTGATAAGGTCTCTCCCAATTAGGCGACCATACCGTCTCTCTCGCTCTTGGCCATCAAGGGTAAACCATCCCTAGCTTTCTCTGGAATCTTATTGCCATTGATCGTCATAATTCCATCCTGGCTCAAATACTTGACGCCATTCAACAAAAGAGACGGGAACCATTGGCTAAAGTCAGAGAAGGTAGAGCCATCCGAAGCAGCCTCGAGAGTATTCCTAGATCAGCCGAAGAAGGCAAACAACAGATCGCGGGAGCTGATGCTATTCAGCTAGAAGTGTTAAGAGCGATCCATGATGTTTCAGACTTGAAATCTGCATGTCAACGCGTATCTTATGTAGAATCGATCATACTCTCCGTTATTTAATTGCACTTCTTGTTTCGGCTAAAGAGCCGATTTGATACAGCCAATCCCAGACTTCTAATCTTAATCCAATTAAGTCTAAAAACACGGCCTT